TGTCGCAAACGCCTCTATTTGTCAGTTTGGGGCCTAACGCGCCCGTTTGAATGAATGAATACGAATCGACACTACCGACCTCTATTGTTTGTTTTCCATTCAGTGCTTCCGATTGCGTTTTCGCGTAACGACGCTTCCTCGTTCCAGTTTGCCCTTATGATTTTTCGATAACTTAAAAGATACGTATTAAAGACCCTTTCTCGTCTTGAAGTTGTGAATGCGAAAGTGTGTTTTTCTGTTTATTATATTCTCTCTGTACCAAAATATGACATCCGGACAGTCGGATGTCATGTTTTGGTACACATGACACCCGGACAGTCGGAGTACAAAAATTTGCAAAATTTGCAATTCCACAATGTACAACCGGTCTCGGTACCACAATTTGTGTATCACGGTACAGGAAACATAAACCAAGAAATTAATTTTTTTAAAGGCTAATCTCTGCCCTTAAGATCAAACATTAAAATGTTTAGAAAAAGTAAGAAAAGTTTTTCGTGTGGGAATCGAATGTGTTTTTCTGTGGGAATCGAATCCGAGTGTTATTGATATCACGACGTTGGTTCGATTCCCACAGCGGCTTTTCTTTTTAAAAACTTCGTACCGTTTGTGTAGAATATTTTAAGAAAGCAAGAAACTGACATTACCATGGATGCTTATTTTTTTTTTAAATTACATCGATGTACGCGACTGTAATTGTGGCATAACACGATCGTAATTATTACCTGACTGTGGCTTGTGTGCATATCGCTAGCCTTTGTTGTGCGAAGTTCAAGGCCGTTCGTTGATTTGGGCGCGATTGTACAAAGGTGTCAATTAGTCATAGGTCGCGTCTACGCCACTGCGTAGTTTTCCATAAATATTTTTGTTTTTTTAATACCGCTTTTAATGTAGCCAGCCATAGATTTAATCGAGTGTGACTCTTAAGCATTGACAAAATTATTTGGTCCCATTAACTGCAAAGATAAATGCGATAAAATTATTATTAGTACCTGGTAATATAATATATTTATTTATTTTACCAGGTACCTTCACTAGCAGCGCCCACGTTTTAAACAAATTTTAAATATTTATATCATTACCTATAAATGTTTACCATAAAGTTTTTTTTAATTCAATTGTAAGAACAAATTATAGATGTAAACAGAATTGATTTTACAAAATTTTAGATAAAATAACGGAGACTATCTACCAAAATCTGAGAATATTTAAAAAGGCATTTATTATGAAATATATACGAATAAGTAAAAGCCGTGATAGCTCAGTGTCCGGGCGCTCGCCTTTAATTCAATATACTGGAGTAACCTGAGTTCTGTCCCCGGCACCAATGAAATTGATAATTTTAAGTGCTAAATTATCACGTGCTCAGTGGTGAAAGAAAACATCGTGAGGAAACCTGCATATTTTCGAAATAATAACAAAAAAAAATATTACGAAGATATGTCAAGTCCGCCAATCCGCAGTGGGGCCGCGTGGTGGACTATGCCCTGATACCCTCTGTACAGAGGAGGCCTTGCCTAGCAGTGAGATATGTAAAGGCTAATACTTTACTTTTTTTTAAATAAAATGTAACAAATAAAACTTATTTGAATATGCAAATTAAATAAGAAGGTGTACCTATTTTTGGATAGTAACTAAAGACGGAGTTAATTTAAATTGTAGTAGGTTTATCATCATATTATTTACTTAAGTGATAGGTACTTCTAATGTACTTCTCTGTTCCTGTGCTGTACTTTTAGAACTTGAACATTCATCATGATCATAATTTCAGCTTGCCTGAATCCACACCTGAACATAGGCCTCCACCTATCCACCAGGATCCTGAACCACCTGTATCCATCGACTTCCCTTGCATATTATGTTGAAGCAAATACAAAACCATATCGCTGCAATAAGCCAATAGCAGTAAACCACATACACTGCAAACTACATTGTGCGTCTACATTGTAAACGTCAATTCATTTAACAGAGTAATTTCGAAATGCCCCATCCGTCATATATTTACGATCGAAAGCGGCCGGGGGATTTCTTCTAGCGGAGCATTGTCGTTACGGATGGAGCCTATAATGAAACGCGCTCATAGGAGTATATAGCCGGGTGGGCCATGCCCACCCCAGTATCGTCTAGTGGCCACCCCAGGATTTTGGGTATATTGATTCGAAATTTTAGGCAGGATACCTAAGAAACTTCATAAAAATTCATTGAAAACAAATATTTATCTACAGCCGAGAAATCTATATAAATACTTAGTTTTTATTACATACTATTTTACAATAAATTCCGTTTATTTACTTGTTAACACAACATACTAACTACTAATTAGTTAATAACTATTACAAATGAATATAAATTATCAACGATATCGAACTGTTACTTTTGTAATGCGACGGATGGTGCTCGATTTTATTTTTTTTTTAGTAAAGGCCCGTGCCCACCGTGAAAAACAATTCTAGATACGCCTATGAACGCGCCATTTATTATCTGTGCTCAATCGCTTTGGCTACACCATTTTGTGTAACGTTATCAACTGTGGACTTATGTTCTTATACAGTCAATTCTAAACTTGATAGCTTCAGGTCCCTACTACATATAGGTATGCATTGAGAAACACTCGAAGTATTCAGAATTTATGATTAAATTACATAATCGTCTTGACATTTCGAATCAAGCTATTGGATGTAAGAAAATTTTCTATCTCAATTTTATTTGATAAATAAGATTGACATTTGAAATTAAAGTATTATATAAATTAAAGTATTATCTAAAGAAATTAAGGTACTTTAAATAACTAGCAAATGTGATTAAACCCGTAGTCTCACAATCAATCCACATAATTAAGTCGTCATTGCTTTTATACAATATGTATTAATCTGTTTGAATAGTGCTGAAGGAAGTAAACATACCACAGTACGTCTATGGGAATCATAATATAATAATCACATAATTATCACATACGAAACATCGTTAGGTATCATGAATATAATGACGTAACCCAAGATTATATCAACAATACAGACTGCGTAAAACGAGCAAAGTTATATTAAATTTAATTGTACTCAAATTTGTTTCAATAGTGACATTCAAAACAGACAAGAATCAATCTCGACCGTAATTTTAAAAGAAAATTAAGTCCTTTGCTTGCAAATGGCGTGGGACTTAATTACTTTATATTTTTTATGTTTGTTACCTAAGACCTCGGTCGTTTATGAACTAATTCTAAAAATTATTTTTGCATTGGGTTCAGTTTAGCTCCCATATTAATTTCATTCGCATTGGACCTCGATTTCTGAAAATAAAATAAAATTTTCGAAAATTAAATAAAATGTCCAGTGTGTGTGTGTTATTTAATGTCGGCTTTGGTTTTTATACTTGTCTTTGACTAATTTCAACCCTGATGGCAAGTAAAGATGTAATCTAAGATGGTAAATGCTCTAATTCAGTAACCAGCCATTCTCTGGTGTCTTGAGGATACTCACATAGTTCATTCAAGGTTAATGTTAGGGCATAAAAGAAACAGCGGACAGGAATAACCAAGAATGATAAAATAAACAGACGAAAAACTAGAGAATAACAATCACAGATGACAAACGGAGCAGATTGCAGTTGTCCATTTTATCTCATTTCCTTTATTGTTAAAGTTGTGAACAGTACTTAATTTGCTTAACCTTAAAGTTTTCCTTAAAAAATAACGTAAAAACGCGCTTGACTGCGACAACAGGAAGTCGTCGAGTAACAACAAATGAAAAATAACATATTGAAAATTAACATGTATAATCATTGTTATATAACGAGCACTTTGAAATCTCATAGACAGCTCAAGTGAGTACATGAACAAAGAACCTTTGAAAAATACTCTCAGTGTAGGATAACATTATCCTGTGTTGTAACGAAGTTCTACGATCATAAATTTCACGTGGACTAACACCCAGATTCGAAACAATTACTCGCGGGTCACACAAATGGTTGTCCCGTGTGGGAATCGAACCCACGAACATCGGTGTCTTCGCCGTGGCAACTGCAGCACGGAGCCATCATCATCGGAGCATTCAATGACTAATAATGTAATGCGTGCGTGAAAACAGAATCCACATTTCTTAAATCCTTTGTCGGCCGATTGCAATTACTCGGTTACGATTGGCAAGCGGTTCTTGACGGCGAGACTCTTAACCCCATAACAAAGTCAAGGGGAACTGTTTGCGAGACGTCTTCGAGTGCCTACTCATGGCGGTATGGTGTCAATGCCTTTTAATATGGACGAAAGATATTCGCAAAGTCACTGTGTAGTTTTCTTATAGTAGAATTCATTTTGAAACGTACCTCCTATTTCAAAAGTTAAGTAGCATTTTTTATGACCTCGTCGGTGAAAGAAAACATCGTGAGAAAACCTGCATATTTTCGAAATAATATTGTCGAAAAAAATGCTTCGAAAATATAACTTTATTTTACTTATAAGGATTGTGTTTGCCCAAATCAAGTGTTCCGACGTAAGGTGCTCACAAATTCTTAAGTACAAATTCCTTCCTATTTATTACAAACTCATTATATTATTATGTTCTAAAACGAGTAAATAAGTTATAAACATTATAAAAACAGGCATATTGATTTCTTCTATGCCACGTACTGCTAAATAACTATTTAAAACCAAACTGAACGGTCCATAATTGAAATCTGTTCGAATAAATGCAGGTGCAGATATAATGAGATCGTTAATTAAATTTTTGAAGAACTATTAGAAATTCGATTCGGGGTGTCAACTACTTATTTGTCAATTGGTAATACTACTGGTTATGCAAATATGTTATGAATAAGACAACAAAAGAACAAAGCCTGATGGTCATCACCCATCAAAATTCGCAACAGTAGATTTTTGAACGTTGCGTGCCAATACGATATCCATAACGTAGGTTAACTCTCACTACCAGCCGGATCGCTGCCTCGTATTCAATTAAAAAGGAGTCTTTACATTCGTCCCGCAATTGCATTGATGGTTTCGAATGCGTATAATGAATTCGATAACCGCCGTGCGTATTTCCGACCTCATCGCGATACACGAGGCGCGGGATGCCGCAGGGAGACCGCATCTCGCCACAGGATACCGTTATTCAGTCGGGAAAACGATCCTTGCTTGCATCACCCCTCGAAGCCACGACGCAGACGTAACTGTACTAAGCGCTTTACGGAGTGCGTAATGCGTAGATGAATAGTGACTAATGATTAAAAAATGATTTGGGTTTATCCTGCGACGGAGATGCAGTTTAAGGCTGTGCATCGCAGTCTGTTTCGGCACGAAACTAACTGTGCTTTAAATAATGATTTCTGTTTTACCCGCGATAGAGGTGATAAAAGTTGATACTGCAGCCTTAGAATGGCCGAAGAAAATGGTTCGCGGAGGGACCTTCGCTTTTCATCGCGAGTTCCTGGTTTAGCTAACGTCTGCTATCTAACGTAATGTCTTTCGTCAAACTTCGGACATCAATATAAGGTAATGAATAAGTGAAACGCGAGTAAAATACAAAAGCACTTAAGAGTAGTAGATGGCATTGAATTCGAACAGTGGATTCTCATCTGCTATGCATTGATCTGAAAATTAACAAATATAACGCTTCTTACGTTCTAATTGACTTCTCTGTGTGCCAGCGTATAACAGTAATGTCTTGTTAGTTGTAACAGTGAGGCAAATCAGCAATCAATTGTCTCACGAGGACAATAGCTGAAGCCTGGGTACATTAAACTCAGGAAACGTTCGTAAGGTTATGCTGAGGAAAACTTAATGCGCCGCCAAATATAGTATCATTTCAAAGGGCCAAGGTAAATAGAGGAAAATCCTGTACACCAAACTTAGCTTTATATGCCGCGTATAAATCAGGGCGTAACCATCTTGTGAATCAAATATATTGATATCAGATTGTTTGTCAAGTGGTGAACTTGCATCTCGTCAATGAAAGTATTTTAGTGATGTTATTGCGTTTAATTAAATTGATGTATCGATCAATGCAGTGTTTAGATCACGATGTAAAAGTTATCACATTAAACAAGGAGAATTATGGCCGTAGAAAGAAGAAAACTTTACAATAAATTAACCGTTACAAAGTTTATTGTATACTTTTTCATAAGTTTTCCACGCTACAGTTAGCTGTTGCACTAATGGGCAGCTGTTCCCGTCTGGGGAAGTACCACGACCTCAGACAAGACCGGGGTCAAGTGGAAGTGTTTACTTCTGCGTTTCGTCTGGTGAGTGATGTAGACGGGGCCCACTTTACATAAAGGTTGCAACGCATCTGCTACTCTACGGTTGTTGCAAATGTCCATGGGCCGCGGTTATCACTTAAAATCAGGTATCTGCTCGCTTGTCACCTTCTCTCATAAAAAAAACGGTTTTTTGTAACATGACTTTGATATAATTTACGTAGGTATTATATATTTAATTATGTATCCATCGAGCGTAGACCTATAATTTTGCCGTAGCACTGAGACGTTAACTAGATCTATCGGCAGACATTGTTATTATACACTATTGCACATTAAAGGCTATACGTTAGGACATTATATTTGAATTATAACAGTTCAACTATTCAATTGTGAAGTCTTAGGTAAACATTAAATAGTGTTAACCAAAAAAAAAGGTTTTCTGTTCTGCTGATTTTATTAAATTTCATCTCTAAAATTAAATTTAATTCGAAGTCTGCTGACGTTGAATTAAGCAGTCGGCGCGCACCCACTGTCCTCCATTCCACCCTCATGTCTCCATATACTCGTACCGTTTTATGGTTGCGTACCCAAAGGGTAAAACGGGACCCTATTACTAAGACTCCGCCGCCTGTCTGCCTGTTTGTCACCGGGCTGTATCTCATGAACCGTGATAGCTAGTTAGTGTTGAAACTTTCACTGATAATTTATTTCTTGCCGCTATAACAACAAATACTAAAAGATAGAATAAAAAAATATTAGATGGAGCTCCCATACAACATACACGATTTCGCATCGTGGAAGCATCATTAGTCACTCGTGTTTTAACGATGACGAAAACTTTCACTCTTCAAACACCATTTTACTTCAGCGTCCTCCCCGCAGCTTCTCCTTGGAATGGACTTCCTTTCCAAATTATCAGGACTACGGACCGTTAAGTGTTTAAGATCAAAACACGGAAAGTATCGTGGAAGCATCATTAGTCACTCGTTTTTACGTTATAACTCTGTTATGTGTACTATATTATATTTAACTATATGTATTTGTGTTTGTTATTCTACGTATCAATTTATTTGTTGCACTTGTTTTAGTGTGTTCACTTACTTTCACGCGTACTTTTATTCCTGCATCAACCCATAGGTCGAATGATATTCTCGGACAATAAGTCAGTCTACACACGAGATTTGGAAGACGAGTATTATAAGTATAGACTAATCCGTAGCATACAGATTCTCCTGCTCGGTTCCATTGCTGGTAAACGGAAATAATGATGGGTTTTACGCTCTTGAATGTTCCTTGATATCAGATCTCATTCAGTAATTCCAGAAACTCCTTTTGTATCCGAACTCCATTTTGGACTGGTCATTGAAACTAGTGCCAAAGAAACTGTTGAAGTTTAATGTCTTTATCAAATTGCGAGTAGAATGCATAAGACAAATAGTGTTCTTGTTACGCAGCACGGGTGACGTGGCGAGCTGTCTGCTTGGATTGGTGTAATACCGGGAATGACTCCATCCTTTTCCACAATTAGACGTTCAGCTGGCCTCAATTGTCAAAATTCCCCGCATCCGAATCAAAACGTTCGCCCCACTGATCATAATGAATACAGCACAGGAGAGAAACAATCCGCCCACATCCGTCTTTCCGCTTTCAATGTGGGTGTCTTCAAGACAAGGGTGAACAGGCTTTTATTGAGCTTTTACCACCAACGACTATCCTAAAATATAAGCCAGTACGGAAAGAGAGGTCCGGCGTTCGACAGCCACAAACCTCCTTGGATTTTCTCTTTTATCATTTTCGATATAATTCTTATGAAATTTTTCGTTATAAAAAGAGAAGGTGTAAATATTAAATAATTTACGTTGTGTCGTATTTCTTTATTTTCATCTGTCTAGATCTATAAATGTAACTCTACTTAAGAACTCTTTAGGGAACCTAATTTCGAATTATCGTATATGTCTGGCGTTAGCATCGTGATTATCTTGGCCCATATATAACAATAGATGCGCCGACAAGTGTTTAGCTTAGTGGCTAAAGCAGGCGCGATACCGGAAGACATGGGTTTGATTTTCGCAGTGGCGAAAAGCATTTCGTCCCTTTTTCCATAAACTTTAGAATTATTCAAATTTAATTATAGTACATCTGTGTTACTCAGAAAACACACAGCCTTCTTTTAGTGATAAAAACATTAGAAATTTAAATTGTTTATAGTGCTAATCTTTGCACTTAAGATTGAACATTAAAATATGTAGAAAAAGTGCGAAAAGATTGCCGAAGACGTGGGTTCGATTCCCACAGCGGCGACAATCTTTTCGCACTTTTTCTACATATTTTAACATTAGAAATCCTTATGCTGTTTAGGAGATTACCAATTGCATAGAAAACAAATCTGTCCATCTTAAAATGTAGTAAATATTTGTTGAAAAATGATCAAAAACTTTTGGCGCAGCGTTGCGTTGGTGTTTGCAATATTAGCAGAATGAGCACCGAACAGATTTGATTTACTTCAATGGTCAAATATAAATTCTCGAATGTCATTTGTTTTGCACCAGTACAGCCGCCCTCCTGTACACGGTCACGCACCGCTGGCGACGGCCTCCAACTCTGTTATGACAGAAATTTACAGTAATTACATAACCAGTAAACAAACACGGACGGCGCAATTTTTCTATTGCGGTTAGATGCTTGAAAAATGCGAGTACAGATAATAGATAGGCCCGTGGCATGAGTTGTTTACGTTTGAAAACTCATCATCAGGATTTTGTTCCATACTGAAGAGTTTCGCACGCCATTATATATTATAGTTTATAAACAATTTTCTTTTCTTCTCTCAATGAAATAGGCACAAACTATTAACGGATATCCTTTTAATTCGAAGATATCAAATTTTAACGTAGGAAAATAAATACTTATATTATTTTAATTAATTAAAAATCGCACTGCACCAATTTTAAAATATATGGGATAATTTCGCTTTCAACATAATTAACTACATAAAAAACTTCTCTGGTCTCTGTTTTGCGGAAGCATTTTAATAATCATGTTATCCATCAATGTATGATTAGTTTGATATTCGATTCAAATATTCTAAACAGACAAAGATAATAAAACAAATAATTTTTTTGTTGCAGCCATGTCGGCCGATGGGTCGACGACAGACATCAATGGGCTGCTCAACGATACCGGTAAGCAGTTTTTATAATTATGCAAAAACTACAAGTAGTTTTCTAAGCTTGCTGAGTAGACAATGCGTGCAATCATTATTTTACATTATTACATTAAATAAGACTAATTTTAGAGTCGCAAAAATTTTACAACGCTGAAATATCTACAACTTGAAAGTTTTTAAAACAAGTAGCAAAAATAAACAGTATTTAAATATAAATTGCGCCATCTATTGAACAGGTTTGTATTAATGAACAAAAAAATGCTTACAAGCGCCATCTATACAGTGTTTGTAAAATATACTTAGAGCGATGATACCTTTGTAAGATAGATGGCGCTATCATCTCATAAGCTTTATATTACACATTTATATTACACTTTATACTACACTAGATGGCAGAGTTTGACATGATGAGAATTGTTTAATATATTTTTCCGATAGATGTCTCTAATTTGCAACTAATACTATTTAATATGGGTGTAATATATTTATAAAAGATGGCGTAGCAAGTACATGACCAAATAAATCCAAGTTATGAAGGTATCCAATATAATTTTTAGGGTTGTAAAAAAAGTGTTTAATGAATTTCCTCCCGCGATATACATAAAAATAATATTCTATATAATTAGATTTAGTGTCTCAATTTATGTGACGTTTACCGAAGAGTTTTGTGGGTTGTATTTAATATTAATAGGATTCAATAATAAGTTAGGTCATAACGGTGTGTACGTAGTGTTAACAGTACTTCACACCGTCATTTGAAAGAGAAGAATCCCATCTAAGAATCCGGTTTTGTCGTCCATTACGTAGTTTTATTATGGAATCCTATATTACGTCAAACGTGACGCGAACATGTTGTTGAATCCGATTAACGGCGTGCCTCCATCATTGTGCGCTAATTCATTTCGGTAAATTTAGTGAAGTATTAGGCCTTGTACGATCTTGGTATCTTCAGTGGTCTCCTGCAGTCCATAGTGATAAAACAGACAGTTAAAAATAATTCATTAATAATTGAGATTCTCTTGTTTCCTAGTATTAACAAAAAAATATCATTTTAGTTAAGAGTGGTGAAGAATGCAAGTTTATGTTATTGCACATCACCACCGTTATGATGGTTAAAAAATTCTGTGCTTCTTCATTATGTATAAATACTATCATGTTAAAATTTAAAACTCGAAATTTGTTTTAGGTTAGTTGAACGATTGGAGGTTTTCTACGTTTTTATAATTTTTCCGATTCCCATCTATCTCCCTTATCTATGTATCATGTACTAGCGATCAAATTCGAATGTTTATTACAAGTTTAGAGAGAAATATTATCACCAAAACATGTTCTTTACGGATGACATAAGTATACGGTAAATAACCGATAACGATAGGAAATTCTATGAAATTAACGCTCGCGGGATGTTTGTTATTAAAATAATCATCTATCGTTACAAGTAAATATCCATTTTCCATTCAAGAAGCGGTCGAAGTATTCATATTGCAATCACGGATCATTTGTAAGTAGAACACGTAGTTGAGTTTATTTATTTCAGTCATTATTTTGCGGAAATTCACTGCACGATGGGTTCTGTAATTGCTTATTCTAATGACGCGTATTCATTTTAATGAACAAACGTGCACAATTATTGTCTGTATGTCTCAGTCATCGCGATAAAATACGACACGACAAGTCATGGCACAGCGTCACGACATGCCATGACGTTCGACGCTCCCAAAACGTTAGGCCCTATTTAGGCCCTAGTCGCCATTAAAAGCGTAACGTGGGGATAAATTCATGTCACCGACAAACTCCACGGTTTTCATTAATTTAGAAATGGGTAGAAACACATTAAAATATTAAGTCGGACTTAGGAACGCTTACATCCAGATATTCAATAAGTCGTTAATTAACATTAGTTTGGCTTCTTTTCCAAATGCAGTCTTATTAATACTATTCATTAAGGCTGAACTTCGAAATATGTATATTCAGATGAGTGTAATTTTTGCCAAGGTTCGAGTTTTATATTATACACGAGTAGTATAATAATTTGCTTACTTATAATTAATTTAATTATAGACAAGATTTAGTTCGTGGGTACAAAAAATAAAGATAATTTTAACATAAAATGCTTATGGAAATACAGTATATATATAAACAGTAAACATAATTTAATTCAATAAGGTTTTTTCAATCTTTTATGATCGTCAAAATTTACTGGCGCTTCGTAAACATAGACTGGTTCTGGGAAGAATAGGCAGAAACCTCTTCAGTTATACATAGGAGTATCTACTTTTTGTGTACTCAATTATTAAAGTTAACAAACGTACTAAGCTATCAGTTATTATCTTATCTTTATTAAAGTTATTTGGCGTCTTCTTTTGGCGTGTTTGGAGAAAATTATGAGAGCGAAATTTTTACGATGTGCGCCCAAACCGACAGCCAAAACACGACATGATGAAGTTGACGGTAAAGCGGTCGCTTCATCGGCTTCATGGTATTTCAATGGCAAGCAATGACAACTTTTTGACATTAACCTATAATTCCAAGTAATTTAGTTAAGCCGTTATTAATTTCATTTCATGTCCGTCTCACAAAAAGTACTGCCATAGATAGGGATGACATTTTTAGTAACATTTCTTTTGTTACGCTGAAGAAGTATAACTTCTTACGTGTATTGTTTATCAGACTATCGTTATCTACTATTATCTACTGTTATCGACAGATCGAGTGCGTCAGGTGCCTTCCGTGTTACATAAGAAACGCCTTACTGCCGGTTTCAATATTCTATAGACAAATAGATTTGGTTAATAGCCATAGGTATTTTATATCAACTCCAAAATACCTACGTCAAAATTTGATCTCCAGTAAGCAAATCTGTAGATAGAATATTGAAACCGGCCATTAGTAGGGTGATCGCAGTTTCCTTTACGTTACTTATGTTAATGATCTTTAGTTATCCTTGACAAATATAATGTACATCATTAAAATATCTTTCTTCCTTAGCTCAATCATCAAATCAGCAATGCTGTCAGTAGGCTTTAAAGCTTTGTTTGCTCTGTAAAGCTTTTTTTGCTAGCTCATATAACTTAAAAAAATGTTACCTTACCGAGACTGCCACTAAAAAGAACAGTACGGTCATTCACTCACCAGACGAAATGTAGAAGTATAATACTTCCACTTCACGATGGTCTTCTGTGAGGAAGCGGTACTTCCCTGGACGGACCTGCCCATTTGTGCAACAGCCAACTGTTGCTCAGCGCTACCACAGTATAATCTGCAGTACGCTTTTCACTTTTTCATGTTCAATAGTCGCTAAATATAGTGTATTATCAGGATTACACAAGGGAATTGATGACGTCTGACGAGTAGAAGTAATAACTTGAAATTACTACCAATAAATCAGGCCCTGGCTAGAGCGTCATTGACATTTACAGCAGTCAAATTATATGACGAATCCGCGTGATATCACCGGTTTCGCGGATCGACGTGAGTTTTTGCGTAATTAAGGGGTCGTTCTCGTGTTGAGGAAGCGTGTTTCTTTTTCCTACACGATCCGATATAAAAACTGCGCTAATCACTATCAGAAATAATCAGAACTTTAATTCCAACTGATATGAATTTGAGAACGTCGAATGATTTCGTTGTTAAAACTCTTAGGAAGGTAGTGTATGTAAATAAATAAAAGAAACTTAAGATGGAAGTTGATTAATATGTTAAGACTCTATGGAATCTTTTTGACAGAAAAAATTGAACCTTTGAACATTAAAAACTATCCTGGAACTAATTTATATATCAACTAAGCATATATATATATATATATATATATATATATATATATATATATATATATATATATATATGTAAGATTAATAGAAGCATGGGAGGCGTCAAAATTATATGTACTACATCATAATATACTCCAACTACTATTAGTACATATATGAATGAATATGTATGGAAATAGCAGTCTTCGATGGAAAAACTCTTTGTTACAACCCCAAAGTAACGATTTATGGCTACGAAATAACAAACAAATTTTCGCATAATTATTGCATTCAATTATTTTCCGTTCTTACCGAACAACTTAACAATCTTTCAAGTTTCTACGTAACATACTAGTAGATAACTTTCAAATAACCGTTCAGTTAACTCCGTATCAATCCGGTGCAGTTAAATAACCAGCAAAAGCCAGCCGTTAAGATATAAATAGCAAAAGGATACATTGCATAAATATTGGACTCTACTCGAGTGATAACCGACCAAGTGAAAGTTACCCAACTAATTACGAAGCCACCTTTCACTTTCAGTCTTCACTTGTTGCTTAGTCTATATTTTTATTCATCTGGCGAGATCATTTCAATTATGATGTCAATTAGACCTTAACTGACATAAAATCCATTAATTTGGGTTTAACGCCACCTGTCGGATATTATAGATGCTATAATTTATACATTCTGGAAAGTCATTTTTAACCTGTATCACAAATGTCAGATTTTAAAAAACGGCTTCGGCGGTGTATGGGCTAATACCTACAACCGGTTCTTAACGTCAATCAAGATTTTCCTTTTGAAATTATTCAAATATCAATAGTGTAGAAATCAATTAGACACACACGTCAGCGAGATGTTTTGAAAACTGTAACAAAACACGCTTTCGATTTGTTTTAGAAACAAGAGGCGGTGTTTTGTTTTAGAAACAAGTTATTGTGGTTACACGATATTTTCGAAAGCTACAAATGTAGTAGTATGAGGATAGTACTATTTTTCATGTAATTATAATATAATTGTTACAATGTATTAGTGGCGATGGCCCTGAATAAAAAAAAATGCCTAACCATTTTTATATATAAACACTAGCGGATCGGACAGACGATGTCCTGTACATACGACTTAAATACGACAACAACTTAGAAATGAAATTTTTTAAAAAAGTCCACATTTTTTTTTTAATAAAATTTGATTTTTAAGTCGTTGAATTGGGAATCTAAACCATTCTCGAATCAACTTGAAGACACACAAAATTTCATTAAAA